AATAAAACTAGACTGTTGTGTGAACCCAGAGACTAAATATTATATATATATAATATTTTATTTTATTTTATATATATATATATAAAATATTTTATTTTATTTTATATATATATATATATATATAAATAAAATAAAATAAAATAAAAAATAAAACTAGACTGTTGTGTGAACCCAGAGACTAATTCTTGCATTAGACTGATTTGGAAAAAGTTGAATTTCTGTATCTTGGCCCCATCAACCTGCTGAGGAAGGGCTAAGCCTTCCTTCCATCCCCACATTCTCTCTATGTATATCTTGTTCCTTTTCATTTCTTTCTCTTCTCAGACAATGTGGATAGAACGTACCACCTACACCACAGCCTATTCCTTCCCTGGAATCCTCAAATGGTTTGAAGTCAAGCAAGTCACCATGGTGAGATTTGGAGAAGCCTGCATTGCCATCTCACATTCAGCCCCCCCCACCCCGCCAACATGATACCTTTAGATGTCTTGAGAATACAACCCCCAGTATTTTCAGCTTATCATGGGACTTTGTAAGCTGGGAATCCAACATCCTTGGAGACTGACAGATTAGGGAAGGCTTGATTTATTGTGACTTTCTTCTTCTACTCCTTCCCCTGAGGGAAGTCTAAGGAATTTCTTCCCTACCTTCCCAAATTTAACCTCTCTATGTGCCTGTGAGGAAGTGCTTATGAATGAACAAGATGCACAGCCCCACTTTGCTTCTAGCACCAAAGTTTCTGTGTTGTCAGCTTTTGGAATGGACTATTGGGGTGACTGATAATTAAAGGAAACAAATGTCTCCCTCTTTATTTTTCTCTGCAGGTTATTCCATTATTTACCTGCAAAGATTGCTAAGCGGGGCTTTCCCTCCCCTCTTCCCCCCACCCCCATTTTTAATCTTTAATGTCAGTTTGGCAAACATACACACATATCCATTTAGTAAAGTGTGGTTTTCTAGCTCAGAAAGAAATGGGAAACTGTCCCCCCCCCCATTCCCACAAATCAAGCCACAGCTTATTTATTTATTACAGTTTATTTTTGTCCTTCCTCTACATGTACACGCTTCATTTTGTTGATGTAGTATCATAGTCCTTCAAGGGTTTGATTTGTTCTAAGGTCACTCCAATGGGTTTTGGCTGAACAGGAGGTTATCTTGGGTTTGTGCAGACTTAGATTTGCTACATTGAGCACAGAAACTGCAATGCTATTATCCTGAGTTTTTTATAGTTGAGAGTTGATTCACACATACAGTACATACTTGAAAGTGAAAGCAGGAAATTTGTTAAGTATTTCCTGGAGCAGGCTGTTACAAGAAAAGAAGAAGGGACAACCCATGCCAAAGGCAGGCCTTGAAAACTAATAAGTTTTAAATTTTCCTTTTTTGAAGTGTTATTTCATTCATTATCTTCCCATATGACATTGAGGTGGTAGAGTCTCTACTGACCTCTCAAGGATGACTGCATGAACAGGATCTAAGTATGAACATTGCCCAACCAAGGATTTAGACTGGGAAAGTTTTGCTGTTGACATTTGCATGGCCCAGCATCCATTTTTTCATTATAGCCTTGGCCATAACTCATTTTTGTGGTGCTTTCCAGGAGGAAATCAGCCCCTTGGAGAACGCCATTGAAACCATGGAGCGGACAAATGAGAAGATCAGTAACTGCGTCCAACAACACGCTTGGGACCGCACCCTTCCTGTCCATCCTCTCTCCATGCTACTGAACGGCATTGTGGATCCAGCAGTAATGGGTGGTTACACCAACTATGAGAAGGTTTGGTTGTCTCCTTGCTCTCTGTAGTACGTCACACAATTATCTCTGGAATGGGGCAGTGTTGTGAGCTTCTTAAAAAATGGGAGGCAGAGTGGGAGAATCAAATTGCACTACACAGCTACATGTTAGGGATGAATAATGCCATAGAGAACCGAGGATTTGGAAAAGAATCCTTGAAGGAGCTGCCACTAAATTTAAGGGTGGAAGTCAAAGGATTTGGTTTCCGTTCATTAAAGCATTCCTTTTCTGTAATAGGTACGTTTTGGTGAGCTATGGACCTCATTCATTTTATAATAATAACTTAATAAACTATAATTATAGAGTAGTTGAATTTCTGGAATTTAGAATGAAAGGGAACAAGGAGGGATAGAGAGCAGGCATAGATGAACCCTGAATAAAAAGGGCAGGCACAAGAAATCTTGCCCAACCACCCCCTCTTCCTTTTTTTCCCACTTTTCTGAAATTTCGCCAGATGTTGTCCATTGCCTTCAAACAATATATAGACAATGATTATCTGCCCGAGAATAGAAATGACCATCTTTTAATGCACTTTTTATAGGAAAACTATTTGGGGGAGGGAAGCTCTGAAGGAATGACAAGTCCTGCGTTTTGCGCCCATCTTAAATTTCCAGACACTTTTCAGTAGTGCTCATATGAAGTAGGCTGCACTACTAGAGTAGCTGTAGAACATATCTGCTCATGGCAAGATCACCTTTACCCATGTTGGTAGGTTGGATTTTCAGACTGCCCTGTTCCAAACAAGCCCACATACATATAATACATAAATAAAGCATCCTAGCTACAATGTGTGGTAGTGCTTAATGTTTCCAGCACATCTCCAAGGCTAGGAAAATAGTCCCAAAATTCTGGAAATCTGCCAGCAGCTGTATCTTTTAATATGTACTTTGTGGTTCCATATCTGAGAAGCAAGATCACACAAGGGGCAATTTGCATAATTTATTCTATTTACAGAATCAGGCTCTTCTTGGCACAGTTTCAGTTATGCCAGAACTGGGAGATTCTTCTTTGGCTTTGGGTTTTGTTAATCTTGGAGTCTTCCCAGTCTGACTACAGTGCCCTGAAGGTTATAGCAATAATGATGTATTCCTGATAGTGAAAATTTAATGAGCCATGAGTGGTGTACTGCAGTAATTTTAGTCCTTTGTAGGCTGTTTGTGTGTAGAAATAACTATGATGGGAATATATGCGTGAACCAAGTTCATATCCATGCATTTCTTCATGCTTGGCTGCTTGAAATGATTGAGGCATTTTTAGATCTCCAGTGGGGGAAATAGGTGCGCTTGGTACATCACTGGTCTATCCAGGATCAGTCTTTTGCTCCTCAGGGTTTCAGTTCTGGATGGTGCTGTAATGCGTTCAGCCAAATGTGCTTACAGAGAACAGGACTTTTACTGATCTTGGTGTTAGAGGTGTAAGGATCTCTGCAAACTGTTATGCACATCTGGGAATTAGGATGAGTGGAACATCTTAACGTTTGTGTCTCCTACTACCACACGTAAGCAGGGCTTATTTCCAGCTAGAACAGTGTTTCTCAACCTTGGCAACTTTAAGACATGTGGACTTCAACTCCCAGAATCCCCCAGCCAGCCATGGTTGAAAAACACGGAGCTAGAATGTATTATAATCACTTTAACACACAATGGGTGCCTTTGGAGTAGAAAGCCTTGTAATACAAGCAGCCAGCAAATGTTCAAACTGGGGAGGGAGGGAGGGACCCATCTGCAGCCAAGGGAATATTTTGAACTCCCACTTCTCTATTTTCTGTGCTAAAGTTAGATTTGCAAAAATGGAAAGGCTGTTACGGCTTCCAAATGTGGTTGCCACATCTGAAAGCCATCAGACTTTTTTTTTTTTTTTTTTTTTGCTCACTTTTTCCTATCCCTGACTCAGCTGGTGTAGGGAGTTAGGATTTTGTGGGCACTTAATAATAATAACCTAAATCTTTCTTTCACATTAAAAACCAGAAATCCATGTCCTGCACAAATCATTTGCCTCCCTTGTTTGGGTATGTGGGTTTCTGAAGAGGCTCAGTGCTTAGGAGTCTAACAGATGGAATTTTGTGGCTTTTATCCTGATCCCAGCACTTTCTCCCCTGCTAGTCAGAGATGTATTTATTTATTTATTTGTTTGTTTGTTTAGTTTAGAGAAGAAAATAGCTTACCAATTTAGCCTTTTGTTCCAAAAGGAAAAGAAACTTGCTTATATTGTCCTGTGCTGTTGTATCCCTCTTAGTAGGACTGGAGAAACTGTGACCTTCCAGATGTTCTTAAATTATCCCATCAGTATGGCCTGATTGGGAAGGAGAACCTGGGATTATAGTTCTGCAACATTTGGAAAGCTGCATATTCCCCATTCCTGCCTTTGAGAATCAATTTTGCTCCTATTTGCATAGTTCTAACCCAAGTATTGCTTTGTTCCTTTAATAACATCATGGAAATTGGCTTTGATGAGTGTAGCTGTTTTGGCTGTCCAGCAGTTGATGTGAAGGGGTGTTTCTGCTGCATTAGATCTGCCAAAGGATGCAGTTCAGTTGGTTGGTTGCTACCTTTGTATTTTTCTCAGAGCTATTCATCCTGCTGTTTTTTTCAGCCTCTCTGTGATATAAGCTAGACTGGGAAGGCAACTTCCAAGCCGAATTGTGGGACTGAACCTGATTCATCCTAGTCACAGTACACTATGCTGCCTACTGTGTAACATAGCAGCACTCCTTTTTATCTAATTTCTGTTGGAGCCAGGTTACCCTATTGTTGTTGTTTTTACTGGCCCAAGTAACCCTAGCCATTCCCAAGCTTGTACATTTAGGAGAAACTGCAGGATTTGCCTATTGCCATTGCATGTTCAACCAGACAGGAACTTCTTGCAATCAACAGTGGTGAGCCAGACATATGGGCTCATGCAAATACAGCTTTGGAGATCAGTAGCAGCAATTATAAGACAAGAATGCAAGAGTTGTGCAGGATGTGAGAGCTTGTTCACAGGTTGAGTGGAGGTTGAGTAGCCATTTCCAAAACAATCCATTTTTGAGCACTTTGAAACTGAGGCTCTCTTTTGGGACTTCCTCAAGAACATGGTAGACTGAAGATGGTTCCACAAAAAGTGGTGCCAGTGATTGCAGCTAAGGACAAGGAGGTGACAAATAGATTGGCTCCTTTGACCATCTCTGGAGAAAGAGAAGATGAGGGATTACCCAAGTTGTGCTCCTTATGGTTGCTCCTCATGAGGTGACTGCAAGGCAGCAGTCTCTGGAGGATGGGAGAACTGGGAGACAAAGGAATTTGCCATTCTTGCTCCAGCCACAGTCAGAGCCTTTAAAGGATACTAAGTTTGCCCTTCTTTTGCTAACCACTTTTGGAATTTGCCTATTAACTCCTTTAAAGAAGTTAGACCCCTTCAAAATGACAAGGCTGGAGAAAGTTTTAAACAGGTCAAGGGCTCAAAAAATGTTGGAATATTTGATTTTGAATATTAAGACTTAGAAATTAATTTTAAAGAATAAATGCATTTTCGTGGAAAAGAAAAAATATTTTTGATATTGGAGACATAACAAGATAAGCAACTTGTAATGGCGTTCAGAGATGTTTTTTAAGGAATTGCACTGGGACTTTGAATCAACAGTGTCAGCTGTGTTGTGTGTTCTTATGAACAATCTGTTCCCAGAAGAAGCTGTTACAGAAAAAGATTTGGAATAAAACTTATCTGATATGATTTTGGAGAACATGAACAAGAATTTGTCATTGGATATACAAAGAAAAATTGAATGAGGCTGTAAAAGTTAAGAAGGAAATAAAAATGCCAATCTCAGAGAGCAATTGGAATAATTTCTTCTTGCTGGACTTAAAAAAGAGACTTGTTAAAGTTT